CGTCAGCGCCGACTACACCAGCTCATTCAAGGATGAAAAGAATTGCTGAAGACAAGAAGATAGACGCAAGCGACTCACCAAGGAAAGTAGCAGGTAAAAGAGAGACAGAGGAAGATGAACGATCAGAAGAGAAACTAGACGACGAGTGGCCCGAAAGCATTTTTCATCACGTAGGAAGTCAGAGTGTGAGTTATCTGTTAAGTGTTCAGTGTGAAGTGTTAAGTCGAGTGAGTTGAGGCAGTGTGTGGGTCTCTGTGTGTGTACCTATGTCTGTTTGTGTATGAGTCTCTGTCTGTGTGTGTGTGTCCGAGTAAGTTGAGGCAGTGCGTGGGTCTCTGTGTGTGATGTGTGTGTATGAGTCCTTGTCTGTGTGTGTGTCTATGTCTGCTGCTGGTGAAGGTCTTCACTGTAGATTTTGTGAACGAAGTAGCGCGCAGGCTTCCCAAACCCCCCACCGGCGGCCAAGCGGTCACAGCTCAGTTCATCGACGTGAGCATTTGAGCTGCTGGTAAGGGCAAATGGTGAGTTTCTTCACTCTAGATATAGTCAAGGAAGTAGCTCGCAGGCCTTCCAAACCCCCCACGGACGGCCAAGCGGTGACAGCTCAGCTCATCTTCGAGAGCCTTTGAGCTGCTGGTAAAGGGAAATAGTCAAGCACACAGCTCTTCTGTCTGAGAGCCCGACCCAGCGTCCATTCCTTGAGAAGCAGCGTGCACGCCTCCAGGAAATCTCACCGAAAAAAGCGAGCGGGAATGAACATAGAAAATTGCTGAGGCAGCTACTCAACACCTTTAGCTATTCCGCGTCCTACAGTTGTACTCTACTGAAGTTGTACTACGACGTCCCCAGTTCTCATCTTCCAGCTCCCCAGGTCCTCCGCGTCTAAAGTTTTACTACGAAGTCGCCAGTTCTCATCTTCCAGCTACCCAGCTACTCCGCGTACTACAGTTGTACTACAAAGTCGCCAGAACTCCTCTTCCAGCTCCCCAGATACTCCGCGCTAAAGTTGCAATACAAAGTCGCCAGTTCTCATCGCACAGCTCCCCAAGTACTCTGCGTACTAAAGTTCTACTACAAAGTCGCCAGTTCTCAGCTTCCAGCTCCACAGATTGCTCCGCGTACTAAAAATG